AAGTCTCGATCCCCAATAGTGCATGACCCCACACTCGTCATCTAGCGTGTGCGTCACCTCAACAAAGCACAACGATGTGTAATCCGGGGTTTCATACCCTCAGGACAATATTTTAAATCATTACTCACATCAATCCGGTCCAAACTCTAGCCCGCGATGCCTTTGCCGCTCAAATCCGACTCAACTCGCGTCGAATTTATCCAAAATCAGAATCACGACATCAAAATATGCTAAGGGAACGAAGCCCGTGCAAAAATAATCAATTACAACATAAATCCTGAAATTAACCAAAACCCGACCCCCGGCTATGTCTCAGAATTCGATAAAATTTACACCAATAGATTCCTTATCTCCCTACGAGTTCATACATAGCAAAAGTCCCAAAACCCAACCACAAATGGCCCTTCAAATCCGCAAGTCAAGATCTCTAATACCAAACCCTAGTTTTCCAAATTTTAACCCTTAATTTCCATAATTACAAGCCTAATCCGTGAAATAATGCCATAGGATCGATTATTAGGTTCAAAAACCTTACCTCCAGACGTTATCCCTTGAATCCCTCTTCAAAATGGCTTCCCCAAGCTCAAACCCGAATAAAAATGGTGAAGAAATAGCTCAAAATCGAAGGAGTGCTTTTATACCTTATGGCCGAGGCTTTTCGCACCTGCGGCCAATTCCCCGCTCACCGCTTCTGCGGTCCGAGCACCGCTTTTGCGGTCATCACTTAAATCCCAGACGCCGCATCTGCGAAGTATATCCCGCACCTGCGCTGTTACATGTGCGCCACCTCAATCGTTTTTGCGGCTCCAGCTCTCCTTGGCCCTTTCCGCTTCTGTGACTCCTTTCCGCATCTGCGGGGGTCGCACTTGCGGCCTCCCAACCGCAGATGCGGTTATGACAGCAACCCCAACACTTCAGCTGCCATTTCCAAATTCCTATCTTTCCATCAACCATCCGAAAACACCTCGAGGCTCCCGGGACCTCAAACAAAAGCATAAACAAGTCACATACCACTATTCAAACTTATACCAATCTTTAAAACACCTCAAACAACATCGAGTCAACCAAAACACATCGAATTCAAGCCTAAGGTTCCAAAATCTTCAGAATTACGCTTTTGATCAGAAAGTCTACCAAACCACGTCCTAATGACCTGAAATTTTGCACAAACCTCCCAAATGACACAACGAACCTACTACAACTTCCAAAATTCCATTGTAACCCTTATATCAAAATCTCACCTACCAACCGGAAAACGCCAAAATTCCAATTTCGTCAATTCAAGCCTAAATCTACTCCGGACCTCCAAAACACATTCCGATCACGCTCCTAAGTCTTAAATTACCTCTCGAAGCTATCCGAACCATCGGAACTCACATCCGAGCCTTCTAACACATAAGTCAACATACGGTTGACTTTTTCAACCTAAGCTTTCTCAAAAGAGACTAAGTGTCTCAAACCTTACCAAAAACCTTTCTGAACTTGAGCCAACCAACCCGATCACACATAGAACCGACAAACAAAGCAATAAAAAGCATAAATGGGGAAAATAGAGCGGTAACTCATGAAACGACCGGCCGAGTCGTTACAAATTTAGAAGCAGAGGCTTAAAGAAGGAATTTAGAACTTTTCTCAAGTTCTAGAAATAAGATTAGAAAGAATGATTTTGTGACTCCCAATGATGTTGGACAAGTTAGAGAATTTTGGTAATTGGAGGTGTAATTGTAACTTTAAGTATTAGTTTTTTAAGTCACTATTATGTATTACAATATACCGTTAGTGCGTGCCATATACTTAATAGAAAAAATGAGCAAAAACTAAAGAGGCACGTAAAAGCAAATTGAGGAAAGGTATGAGGAGTGAAAGAGGAATGTAAAATTTTATTACAAAATGGGGTAGGAGTGGTTAAAGTATGTATTGAGCCTTTAAAAAATAGGACTGTTTAGTAGTAGTACATAATATTTTGTTTGCTTTTCTTGGTAGGATTTTATCTATTTTTCATAGTATTATTTTCCTTCTACGACTCTTGGGCATTCCAATATTTGCCGTGATTTTAGGTAGTGTAGGCGCATCAAGGTTGAGAAAGTCATGGTGGCTATACGTAAGATAAACTGTGGTAGAATTACCGGGCCTGGCGAGATTCCGGTAGAATTTTAGAGGTGTGTGGATAGAGCAGGTTTGGAGTGGCTAACTGGGTTATTTAATGTCATTTTTTGGACGAAGAGGATGCCGGATGAGTGGAGGTGGAGTACGGTGGTTCCATTGTATAAGATTAAAGGTGACATCCAAAGCTGCAATAACTATATGGGTATCAAATTACTGAGTCATACTATGAAAGTTTGGGAGAGGGCGTGATAAAAGCGAGGCTGAGGAGGATGATATCTATATCAGACAATCAGTTTGTGTTCATGCCAGGTTGTTCTACTGCGAAAACTATCCACCTTATTAGGAGGTTGGTAGAACAATACAGGGATAGGAAAAAGGATCTACACATGATGTTTATTAATCTAGAGAAAGCGTATGACAAGGTTCCTAGAAAGGTTCTTTGGAGATGCCTAGAGGCTAAAGGTGTGTCGGTTTCTTACATTAGGGCGATTAAGGACATGTATGATGGAGCTAAGACTAGGGTTATGACAGTGAGAGGCGACTCTAAGCATTTTCCTATTGTTATGGGGCTACATAAAGGATCTACGCTCAGCCCATTCTTATTTGCACTGGTATGGACGCACTGACACACCATATTCAAAGAGAGATGCCATGATGTATGTTATTCGCTGATGACATAGTTCTGATTGACGAGATGCGGTGTGGCGTTACCGAGAAGTTAGAGGTTTGGAGACAGGCCTTTGAGTCTAAAGGTTTCAAGTTGAGTAGGAAAAGTCGGAATATATCGAGTGCAAATTCAATGCTGAGCCGAGGGAAGCGGGAATCGACGTGAGGCTTGGATCATAAGTCATTTCCAAGAGAGGCAGTTTCAAGTACCTTGGGTCGGTTATCCAGGGAGATAGGGAGATCGACAAAGATGTCACACACTGTATAGGGGTGGGGTGAATGAAATGGAGGTTAGCATTCGGAGTCCTGTGTGACAAGAAAGTGCCATTGCTACTCAAAGGTAAGTTTTATAGAGCGGTTGTTAGACTGGCCATGTTGAATGAGGCTGAGTGTTGGCCAATTAAGAACTCACATATCCAGAAGATGACAGTAGCAGAAACGAGGATGTTGAGGTGGATGTGCGGGCACACTAGGATGGATAAGATTAGGAATAAAGATATTCGGGAGAAGGTGGGTGTGGCTCCTATGGATGACAAGATGTAGGAAGCGAGACTCAGATGGTTCAGGCACGTATAGAGGAGAAGTCGTGATGCCCTGGTAAGGAGGTGCGAGAGGTTGGCATTAGTGGGTAAGAGCAGAGGTAGAGGTCGGCCTAAAAAGTATTGGGGAGAGGTGATCAGACGGGATATGTCGAGGCTTTAGATTTTCGAGGACATGGCCCTCGATAGGAAGCTGTGGGGTCGAACATTAAGGTTGTAGGTTAGGAGGTAGTCGAGCATATTTCTAACTCGTACCAGTGTAAGGCTAGGCTGATAGGATTTACTCTTAGACTGTTAGTTGTCAATGTTGTGTTCACGCTACTCTTCCATTTTTATAGTGTCGGTCCTTATTTACTGGTTATTATTTTTGCTTTCCATCTATTTACTGGTTCTTGTGATGGTGTTATTATTTCTACGATTTTTTGTTGATAGTACTGATATATTGTCTCTTTTCGTATTCTTGAGCTGAGGGTCTTATCGGAAATAGCCTCTCTACCCCCTCGGGGTAGAGATAAGGTCTGCATACACACTACCCTCCCCAGACCCCACTTGTGGAATTTTTCTGGGTCGTTGTTGTTGACTCTTTATTTTCTTTTTTTATCATATTTCTTTCCTTTTTTTAGTTATTTCCTTCTTTGATTTGAATGAGAATATACTTGGCTGCCTCATTCTTGAAGTGGGATTTTACGTAATCTGATTAGGAAATCAGAATATATTTGTGAGGTTGGAAACCTTATTATTGATAGAACTTTAGAATTAATTACTTCCTAACTTGAGTTATTGATATTACAACAACAACAACTACCCAGTGTAATTCCATTAAGTGGGATCTTGGGAGGGTAGGATGTATGCAGCGAGGGTAGGGAGACTGTTTTCGAATGACCCTCGGCTAAAGAAGGTGAAGGAAGCCCTGATAGCAAGAGAAATAGTTAGAAAACTAAATCGGAGATAACAACAAAGAATATGGAAGGAGTACCGATAACAAGTAATAGCAAGATAGTATATTTAGACAAATAAGTCCAAGGCAGCACATGAGAATATGACGAAGTCCTGCTAGCAAACTACGGAATTACCGAAGGTAAGTAGTAACAGAACAAGACACGCGGCTATAGCAAACTAAGGAAAAAGGGGTACCATACTAGCACTAATACTATCGAACTAGGGAAAACAAAGGGAAACACACTACTACATACTAACCTTCCACCCTAATCTTCCACCTCCACACCCTTCTATCTAGGGTCATGTCCTCGGTCAGCTCAAGCTGCGCCATGTCCCGCCTGATCACTTCACCCAAGGCTTCTTAAGTCTACTTCTACCCCTCCTCTCACCCCCCAAAGTCGACCTCTCACACCTCCTGACTAGGGCATCTGTGCTTCTCCTCTTAACATGCCCAAACCATCTCAATCTTTCCTCACACATCTTTACCTCCATGGGCGCCACTCCCACCTTGTCCCGAATAACTTCATTTCTAATTCTATCCAATCTAGTATGTCTACACATGCATCTCAACATCCTCATTTCTGCTACTTTCATATGTTTGACATATGGCTTTTTGACTAGTCAACACTCTGCCCCATACAATATAGTCGGCCTGACCACTACCTTATAGAACTTACCTTTAAGTTTCAACGGCACTGGTTATTGATATTAATTAATTATTTTATTGACCGAGGGTCCTAAGAAGGCCATATCCGGTGAATGGATAATCACGGCACGGCGCTGCACTTTTAAATAAAGCTGGAGGCAACGGTCGTTATGCACAACTCATTGAGTGAAGGAGCAAAGGCTAGTAGCTAGCTAGCTCAATGGAAGCTACTAACAGATCCGTCACCGTTCGCCTAAATAGAGAAGAGTGTAAGCGCACAAAACACGATTCGGCTTTCTCCGATTGGAAGGTTCGATCAAAACTCACCACTTGTTGTTCCCATAATTTTTTTTTTTTTTAAATCTATTGCTCGTTAGTTGTTTAAAGAGTGCGCGTTTTCGCTAACTTTCAGACTTAAATTCAGATCTAGAGCTGTCTCTAGTTGTTTGGATTGGAGTAGTACTGCAGTTTTTGCTGATTAGGTAAATCATGATTTAAAAAAGGAAAGAAAAATATAAATGTAGGAGTACTAATTTAGTAGAGCTGTAGTTAAGAATTTCATGTTAAGAATGACAACCAGTTGGCCAGATAAGTCAAATTCATCACAGAATTTGCTGTTAAAAATACAACCAATCGGGCAGATAAGTCATCACAGAAGATAAATAAAGAAATTTTGGTTTTCTCCAATGTAGCAAAAATATTTTTAATTTAATCTATATTGTCGGAGAATATGTGATAAAGCTCCAGAATTGTAGGAAGGTATATTTGCAACTTAACTCTAGTTCTTCTGATTGGCTCATTCTTATTCATTGTGAGTGTTTATTGCCAGATTCTAATTGGGCCTAATGATTGGACGAATTATTTATTGAGGAAGGAAGGAGCAGAGAAATATAGGACTCAGAACCTGCCAAACTGCACTTCGTGCTCTGGAGTTTATGAGCTGGGAATAGCTGTGTCACGACGCCAAGCTGGGCGAGAGGCTAGCAGACTTGACCCTGATTATATTGTTCCTGTATATGTTGGAAAATCTGACAGTGTTAGGACTAGGCTACAGCGGTATGGCCGTGAAGGCGCTCATTTAGAGAATGGCTGCTCCAATAGTGCACTGCACGACCAAGTAAATGTATCTGCTTCAAAGAGAGCAGGATTGTTTACAGAAGCATTCTCAAGAGGCTTCTCTATTGTTTATAGGTGGGCACCTGTAAGTACATATTTCTCCTATCTACAACTTTAAGCCACTTGCAAATGTTGTTAATTTGTAATTTCCTCCTCCAGATATAGAAATGCATAAGTGTGTTGCTCCGCTCATTCATGCAAATAGCAAGTAACGCTAGTTTTTTTTTTTTTTTGGTAAAGATATTTTAATTCCGCGCTTCCTTTTTCTTGGCAAGATTTCAATTAGAAGCTATTTGTTGTCCAGTCAATTTGACATTCAGATTAAAGCTCTCCTAGTTTTACTCTGTCATCTTTTGGGAAATTATTATTATTATGAGGTTATCTTACTGAGCTCTAGACGACAACAGTACTAGTAGACCAAGTTGAGTTTTTGGTTTCAGCATTTCATTTTTGTTCCATTCTTTGAAGAATCACTGTGAGCTGTCTGCCAGGCATTTGTTTGCATAGTTAAGCATGTTAAGGATTGAAAGTAATTACACGCTCTATTAACTTGTACCAAAAAATACTTCAGTTACTAATGGATTTTGGTAATGTTTCCTAATATTTAACAGGTGAATGACAACAAAGACGCTGAGAAAACTGAAGCCCAGCTGCTCGATAGATTTGACTATGCTTGGAATAAAGGCAGTAATGGCGTACGTCGCCACAATGATGTCCTCCGCAAACTTGATGGCATTTCAAGAGCAACTCGTCTTCCTGCTTTTGTCAGGAAGCTTCAATTGTCCCTTGAGAAACAAAAAGGTGTCAGAATCCAAGCTTGCAAGCCCCTTTTGTTGGAGAACAGAGATGATTTTCATGATACCTTCAAAAGCACTTATTTCCTTCCCGAAATCGTCAAATTTGGTCGATCACAGCCAAGAATAGTTTCACTAAGTTCCCGTGTAAATAATGATCCAAATAATATTTGTGGTGTGGCTTTGGGTCATGGATCTGTTTGTATAAGGCCTCCAATAACGGGAAATAAAAGATGTGCTGAGCACAAAGGAATGAAGGTAAATGGTGTAGAACATAAGGGTATGAGCGTTAAAAAGCCCATTTCTAAGCAATTAGGAGCAGAAATACCAGGTGTATTTGCAGGTCCAGCTACCAAAATTAGCAGTGAGAAAATGCATTGGAATATAGACATTCCAGCTTGTGGAGCAACATTGCTTAATGGTTCCTTTTGCAGAAGGAAACTTTCGGAAGGTAATAAAAGATGTTGGCAGCACAAAGGAGCAGAAATACCAAGTGTATTTGCAGGTCCATCAGTCAACCATTCTCCAGCTTGTGGAGCAACATTGCTTAACGGTTCCTTTTGCAGAAGGAAACCTTCGGAAGGTAATAAAAGATGTTGGCAGCACAAAGGAGCAGACATACCAAGTGTATTTGCAGGTCCATCAGTCAACCATTCTCCAGCTTGTGGAGCAACATTGCTTAACGGTTCCTTTTGCAGAAGGAAACCTTCGGAAGGTAATAAAAGATGTTGGCAGCACAAAGGCAGGAAGAGCTGAAGTAGGACCTCCACGACCTGCATAATGTAGTTTCATCTGAGAGAATTATTAATCAAGTTGTGGTGAACCCTTACGCAGTGGTTCCTATAGTAAAAGGTCACCGCACTCAAAGGTGCAACCTAGTTGTTAATGACGTTGGGTTGAGGATTATGAACAGGGGCAGCCTAAGTGTAAGGCAAATGAAGTCATTTCCTTAGGCCCCCAAAATATTAAGGGTCCCAATTTTAAGTACTATGTGTCACATATATTTTATGTAATTATTATTAATAAAATATTTTAAAATTTTTAATTAAAGTTATACGGTTGAGTGAAAAATAACGATAAATTTCTCTCTCATTTAATTAAACAAATTGATGCATTTACCTTCATTATCCAATCTAGTTTTTTCTCTCTATGTACACTCATATTTCCTTTTAATGCTTCTAGTCATTTTACTTTCTAATTTTAACTCAGTTTTTCCGATTGACTATTTCTTTTCACCATATTTTATTGGTCCGTCTATTAGAAAGCAATTTTTTTCATCTTCTTAAGAGAATTCCGCAAATACAATGGTGCGCAAGGTTCCAAAGTCCCGATTATTGTCGTGCCCCCTCTACCTTCTTCCACTTAATTAATATCATATTTTCATATGACAAAGTTTCAAACCGTGACGTGCACCTAATTCACATATCACACGTTGTACACTTATCGCTAGACCAACGTTCTAGGAGTTTGTTTTGTATCTCATTATAATATAAATTGTACAAAAGAAATTTAAGGGTCTTTAATATGTTTTGGCTTTAGGCCACAAAATCTGTTGAGCCGTCTCTGATTATGAGAGACTAGGTTTCAAATCTCAGTAGAGGCAAAAATATCTAGGTGACTTCTTCTCATTTATTTGAGCATGTTGGGCAGAATTACCCTGCAAATATATTGATGGGAGAATGCAGATATTGGGTGGATTAGTCGAGGTCTTCTCAAGCTCTCCCGTGTATAATAGTCATTAAAAAGAAAACAAAAAAGGGCCATTTATGTCCCTCTGCTAGTTAAAATAGGTCATATATGTCTCCCGTTATACTATTCAATTGAAAAAGTCCCTATCGTTTGTGTGCAGAAATTAAAATGTCCCTTCGCCGTCTACTCCTAAATTTAAAATAAAAATATCCGCGTTTTAGTCTTTTATTAGATAAACTAAATCTATCCCTTAGTTTTTAATTGACCAACCAACCCAACTTATTTTATCCGACCCACCTGATCTTTTAATTAAAAAAGAGCCCAAACACATCGGTCTCTCGTTCCCTCCATTCAACCAACGAGACAAAATTAGGGTTCTTCAAGAAAGAGTCCAAGAGGAAAAGGGCTACTCCAATCTCTTTCATTATCAGTTATTTGATTTTATTAGGTTGCAAATATTGTCCAAAAGGATGATTTGACATGTCAGAAAATATTTCTTCATCCAAGAGGAAGTGCCACTATGGGGAATTTGCTAACCACTTCACTTCGACTACTCTTTTTAACCCTGGACGGAGATTGTACAAGTATCCTAAACAAGAAGTAAGTGATTATTATTAAATTTTGTTGTGTTTGAAATTTTTTATAATTTAACGAATTATTTCCCTTTGGTTTGTTTGAATTGTATTTTGGTGTTATTGGATGCTTCATGTGGTTATTGGGAATGGGGAGATGATCCTATTCCCGATAGAGTGCTCGTTGTAATCAATAATTTATTGTTTTAGTTGGATGCGGCAAATGTTAAAAGTAGTATTTTGAAGTCGTCGTTGGACAATGTTAAAATTGAAAGGGATAAATTGAAGGAGAAAAAGGTCGCTGTAAAGGCAAGAAACCATGTTCAAGTGACTAAATTAGAAGAGAAAATCCTCAAGATGAAGGTTTTCATTATCATTTTATGTACCCTTTTTGTGGGAATTTAGCTGCTAGGGTAATCAATTGAAGTTGATTATGATACTTGATATATTTGGTAGGGAATGTTACCTTTTTTTTTGATCTTTTATAATTTCAAAAATTATGTAGGCTCATATATCAGATGAGTTCACTTTTGTGTAGACTACTTCAAATTTTGTAACCTTAATGTTTTAAGTTGAAGTTTAAGTTCTAATGTTAATTGCTCTTGTTGGTTATATTATAGATTTAAGTTGAAGTTTTAAGTTGCTCTCGATGTTTTAAGTTGAAGTTTAAGTTGCTCCATATCAGTTGGTTGTTCATATTGTAAGTCTCAAACTACAGATTCAACAAATTGCACAAACTGCAAGTTCTATTACAATAGACTTTAGTTGCTTCCCCTTCTATGGCTTCAGCTTATCCACTTTCTTTTTGCTTTGCATCTCCACCCAGCTTCTAGTTACAACACTTTTTCCTTTCCATTTGAGGCCCGATAGCTTGAAAGGAAGTTGATGATGGAAGACTGACACCATTTGTATCACCAGTGAAGGAATTTACCCTTACACTAGAAATTTGAGGTGGTTTTTGCCTTTGTAGAAGTCTTGTTTTAGATTATAACACAGTTGTTGGCCTTGTAACTACATTTGGATCAAGTTCAGGGAGGTCAAAGTTAGTGAATGGACTACTTGATTGACTATGCACAGATGGTGTAGGCATGAACACAAAATTTGAGCCTTGACCACTCGACTGACTTGCTTGACTAGATTGAGGTGTTGTTAGGTGTATTTCTTCTTTTGATTGTTGTCCCACACTATCATCTTTGTCAACTAGATGTTTGACATTTTTCTATGTCCTTTTTGCCATGGATATTGTTAACAAGTAAAAACAGTTAGATAAAATAAATATTAGTATTGTTAACAAGTAAAATAAGTTAGATAAACTAGAGGTGTTACCTTCTCACAACCTCTTGCATTATGATTTGCCTCTCCACAGTTGGTGCAAGTCATTACTCCCCCTTTTCATGAAGCGGCCCATTCACATTGCCTTTTAATTGCCTCATCTTTCTGTCTAGTTCTTTTGATTTTAGGCCTCTTGGCCATTTTTGTCACGACCCAAAATTCACTAAGGGTCGTGATGGCGCCGGATACCATTGTCAGGCAAGCCAACACTAAGTAACTAGTAGTTTCTCATTTTAGATATTTCTGAGTTCACTTCTTTTATACATTTAAACAATTAAGAATAAATTTCTATTGAATAAATAATGATATCTTTAACAATTTCAAAATACTGACTACTTACATAGACATCCCAGAACCCGGTGTTACAGACATCATCAGAGACCCTGATATGGTCGAAGCTGCAGAGTCGACCATAGAAGATCTCGACCTCATTCAATTAGACAGCAAAGACCACAAAAAGAAAGCTTACATCGGCTATAAACTGCAGGAACCAGGTAAATTCTGTGAATTCTTAACTACTAATGCGAACTTATTTGCTTTTAGCCATGCAGATATACTGGGTAACCTGAAGGAAATCGCTATGAACAAGCTTAAAGTCGACCCGTTCCACCCCCAGTGAGGCAGGTCAAACGTAAGTTCAACTCTGCAATCAATGACACAGTACGCGAAGAGGTGGAAAAGCTATTGAAAATGGCTCCATCAGGAAATCAAAATACCCTCAATGGGTCGCCAACGTGGTTATGGTAAAAAAGAAGAATGGGAAATGGCAGATGTGCATAGATTTCACTGATTTGAACAGAGCATGCCCTAAGAATTCATTCCTATTACCCCCTATTGACCAACTCATCAACACAACGGTCGGGCATGAACTACTGAGCTTTTTGGACACCTACTCGGGCTATAATCAAATCCTCATAGAAGAAGTGAATCAGGAAAAAAACCACTTTCATCACCCACAAGGGGATGTACTGCTACAGGGTTATGTTTTTCGGGCTAAAAAACACAGTGGCAATATAACAAAGGTTAGTAACAAGGATGTTCAAAGAACAACTCGACAAAATGATGGAAGTCTATATTGACGACATGCTGGTCAAGTCCAAAAATAAAGAAATCACATCGACCACCTAAGAGAAACCTTCTATATACTTAGACGGTATGGAATAAACTGAATCCCGAATGTTGTGTATTCGGCGTGGCCTCGAAAAAATTTCTAGGTTTCCTGGTATCACAGCGAGGGATCGAGGTCAATACAAATCAAATCAAAGCCATCGAAGGGATACTAGAATACCTAACCACCAAAAAATAGGTTCAGAGGTTGACCGGCCATATCGCTGCTCTCTCAAGATTCATTTCGCGATCATTAGACAGGTGTCACCGATTCTTCGACGTACTCAAGAAGAATAACGACCTCCGATGGATTTATGAATGTGTCCATGCCTTGAAGGAATTAAAAGCATATTTATCATCGCCACCATTGCTTTCAAAACCAGAGCCGAGGCAATGTCTCCTCGTTTACCTTGCCGTATCCGAAGTAGCAATGAGCGTAGTCCTGGTCCGAAAAAATAAAGGTACGTAGTCTCCCATCTATTACATTAGCAATACACTAGTCGATGCCGAAACAAGATATCCTCACCTTGGAAAACTGGCTCTGGCCTTAGTCGTAGCTTCATGAAAGCATAGACTGTATTTCCAATGCCACCCCATCTCGGTCGTCACGACTTTCCCCCTAAGAAGCATTTTGCATAAACCTAAGCTATCGGGCAGGTTGGCCAAATAGGCCATCGAATTGAATGAACATTATATCATATATCAGCTGTGAACATCGATAAACTTACAAGTCCTTGCAGACTTCATCGTCGACTTCAGCGCAAAAATAATGCCTGAAGTCGAAAGAGAAGCCATCTATGCTTCTCCCCAAATAAGAGACCTCTAGGTCCTGTACACCGACGGCGCATCCAATGCGTCAAGGTCCGGACTGGGAGTCGTACTTGAAGTCCCAACCGGTAAAGTGATTTGCCAATCCATAAGGTGCCCGGACGTGACTAACAATGTGACCGAGTATAAGACCGTAATTCCAAGGTTAAGGCTGGCACTCAAATATGGGATAAAATGGTTAAGACTACGCTGCGATTCTTAACTTGTAGTCAATCAAGTCACATGGACTTTCCAAATCAAGGAACAGAAGCTAGAAAAATACCAAATGGAAATCTGCAAGCTGCTGCCCGAGTTCGACGAATGTCAACTCGACCAGATCCCCCGAGCACAGAATTCCGAGGAGGAAGACCTCGCTAAGTTAGCCGCAACTACCAAAAACATCACAACAGGGGACAAAAGTGTAGACCACCTCCTCAACTCATCGATGGACCAAATCGAGGTAAGAGCCATAAACCTGAC